CTGGCTGTGCTTTTGCGCCCACGCACCCCCCTTTAAAAAGTTTAATTTATTTACCCTAACATCTCACTTACCTTGCCCCTCTGCCCCTTACTGCTCTTAGTTTTCATACAACTCCTCTATCACTTTCTCCCACAAAGGGACACACTTAGAGGACTTATTTCAGTCGCCTTATCCGCAGTGCGGCTTCTTGGGGGACATTGCAGGAATTCTCATTGTTGCTGTATCACATAGTTTCTTGCTTGCAAGTCTCTGATAACGGTAATTAGGGCCATACGCTTCATTTTAGCAAACCGACACAGAAAAGACAGAAAAAAGGACAAAGCATGTGTTAACATGTGACCCCCAGCAACCTGTTGCACTGCAGGTTAGGTCATTTGAATCACTGCTACACAGAACTAATAAGAAGGTTCCTGCAACATGTCGTTTTGTTGCTTTCAGTATTTGTTGTTAGATTTGTGATCACTACAGCATTTTGATCATTTCTACCATCTAAGAGGATATCAGTAGGCTTAGGGCCACACATATATGTATATACACTGCTCACAAAAAACAGGAACACTTAAACAACACAATATAACTTTGATTAAATCATGTGAAATCAAACTGGCGACTTTGGAAGCAACACTGACAATTTCACATGCTGCTGTGGAAATAGAATAGAAAACAGGTGGAAATTATTGGCAATTAGCAAGACACAGTCAATAAAGGAGTGGTTCTGCAGGTGTTGGTGGTGCTTTACCACTCATTGTAGCAGGAGACAGACTCTACAACCCACATAAGTGGCTTAGGTAGTGCATCTCATTGAGGATAGCACATCAATGTGACCTCTGGAAAGAAGGTTTGCTGTCTCTACCAGGAGATGTGATGGAGGCCATAGGAGGGCAACAACCCAGCAGCATTACTGCTATTTGCACCTTTGTGAAAGGAAAAACAGGAGATGCACTGCCAAAGCCCTGCAAAATTTCTTCCAGCAGGTCATAAAGGTGCATGTCTGCACAAATAGATAGAAACCAACTCTATAAGGATGGTATGTGGGCCTGACGTCCTCAAAATGGGGTTGTGCTCACAGCCCAAAACCATTCAGGACACTTGGCATTTGCCAGAGAACATCAGGATTGACAAATTCACCACTGTCACCCTGTGCTCTTCCCATATGAAAGCAGGTTTACACTGAGCACATGGGACAGACGTAACAGAAACTGGAGACACAGTGGAGAGCAATCTGCTGCGTCCAACATCCATCAGTGTGACCGGTTTAGCAGTGGGTCAGTAATAGTGTGTGGTGGCACCATATGTTGGTGTGGTTGGCCCTGGGTTCCTCCTGATGCAGGACAATGCTAGACCTCATGAGGCTGGAGTGTGTCAGCAGTTCCTGCAAGATGAAAGCATTGAAGCTATGGACTGATCTGCCCATTCGCCAGACCGGAATCCGATGATCACATCTAGGACATCATGTCGCGATCTATCCACCAATGTCATGTTGCACCACAGACTGTACAAGAGTTGGTGGATGCTTTAGTCCAGGTCTGGGAGGAGAGCCTCATTTTGACCTGTTTTAGGAACATTACATCAAATTGGTTAATGCATTTGGTTTCCATTGAAGATTTTTGTGTGATGTTTGTTGTCAGCACATTCAACTTTGTGCAAAACAAAGTATTCAAGAGTTATATTTTAGTTTTAAGTATCTAAAAGTGATACAAAAACCATGGTTTAGCATGAAAATAATCAAACTAAATTTAAAGGTGGTGTGTGGTGTGGAGTTGAGGTAAGAGGCATATGGTTCTTTTGAGGTGTTGTGGAAACCCAAGTTACTGAAACACCTATAACAACTATTTTGAAAACTGCCCATGAGTTACAGCAACATTTAATTTCCTTTTGGGATTGATAAAGTATTTTTGAATTGAATTGAATTAAATAATGAAGATCCATAGGTATGATAGGGGGCTCATTGAGTTCCCATGAGTCCGTATTTTCATGGTCACTAAAGCTGTTTAGCAAAACGAGGTTTAAAATTACCTCTTTTTTTTCCCCTGGAAGATTGTAGATTTTGATCAAATTTTGTTTGAACATAAAAAAACAGGTTTTCTTCGTTTTTTTTGGGTTTTCATTTTTCCACCTGATGCTGAAACATCCATCGTTGTGTAAAGAAACAAAAAAATGAACCGATTTTCTGTCTTGACCCACCCCCCCTCCCCACCACCAGCCCCCGTCTGTGTTTTTCACCTCAAATTACACGTTTGATGATACATCTTCCTGCCACTGTTCCATTATAACCATTAGGACCATCACCAGTTAAGGAATGTGACGCTTCAGGGGTGAAAGTCTTCTTCTTCACTAACCATTTGATTGGTGCTCATTTTGTGGTCTGCTTCAAAGAAAAGAGGTTGCTGGTTCTGTTCCCCCCTCCAGCCACAAATGATGCTTAGATAAAAACTTTATTTCTGCCTCAGCTTTACCAAAAATATTTTGTTTGCTTCGAGCAGGAGGCAGCAGGACTTTGGTTTGTTAGAATTTGAAACATGTGCCAAACATTTTCAAAGCTTCTGTTTACTCATTTGCTCTCTTCTTTGTCCCCCAGGCCGACTTGTTTCCTGGCGCTCTTGTGTACTTCGGCTCAGACGTCAAAGCAGGTTTTTTTACTCATATTTTAATGCCGGCTTCAATTAGATACTTGTTTTTGCAGAGCTCTGTAATGCAACCCAATTTTACCCTACAGATTTCTACATAAAGAGAGATATTCTTGAGACCTCTGTTTCAGCCCTGCAAGCCAACAAGTCCATTGCAAGGTATCTACATGTGTCTCTGTGTATAATCGTGCACCTGGTGGCGTGTGTGTATGCATGTGTACTCGTATACTGCAGCAACCAGCCTATTTTCCTGTCACAAAGCTGTCATCATTGGAATCCCTTTGAGGTTTTGCCTAAACAGCAGGTGCCCCATACGCCCTCATTTCCTCCTTACACACACTGAAAGACACGCACACACCAAGTTCCAGTGTTTCTAAAGATAGAGCCTAAAAGTGACCCTGAGCTGCTTTAACAATGTTGTCTTAGCTGTCCTGCCAGGAAAATAACACGGCCCTGATCAAAAGCAAACATCCCTGAGTGGAGCAACACACCACTTATATATATATTTTTTTTTATATTTTTACTGTAGCTGCATGCTCCGCTCTCCAGAGGCCTCTTCCACTTCTGCAGCCATCGAGGATCTGCCGCCGTTGCCCTCTGAAGAAGCAATCCATGCTGAGCCAAAGGCTGTGCAGGAACAGCCTGAACCATCTACACATAAACAGACTGGATCTGATCCTAGCAAGGTGCCCAAGTGGCTCAAACTGCCAGGTGAGAAAAGGACGTACAATAAACACACTTAAGTTAGTCTAGCTGCTTAAATCCTGTTTATGGTTAAAGAATCTGGGCCAAAGACGATGGTGATTCCCTATGTTCTACCCTATCCTAACACAGTTTCTCTCATTTTCTAAAAGTTAGATTAAGATCCCTGGGTGTTAAGTGCTTTCATCTGTGTTTATTAAACATGCAAAGCTCAGCAACTGTAGGTTTAAATCCATACATACATGCGTACATACATACGTAGGTAGATAGGTAGGTTTGTTTCTGTACCAGAGAGGATTTCTGTCTCTTATTCTTTTTCTCGCCCTAATAAACCTTTAAAATGAGGTGACCAGGAAGTTTCTTGATCAGAGGGCCACAGTGCCTCAGATAGCTTTAGTCCCTCATCTCAGAGTTGGAATGAAACCTATTTGTGTTGTTAACATTATGATTGTTTAGTGGCTTGGATTTTACCATCGTCTGAACGCTCTGAAGGCGTTTATTTCCTAAGGCGTTTAATATAAGCTATCATTTACTGGAGTTTCCTGGGTCTTAATTGCTGAACTACAGTGCAGGTTTTATATAAAGACCAATCAGATTTAGATAAAGGCTTCGATGCTGTACACCGCCAAAAGTATTTTACCCAAATATTTAGATTCATATTATTATATTATATTAATAAACTGCTTTTTTTGTGACAATTTTAACACAAACCTATTAAATACATTATTCAATATGCAATAATTAATATAATAAATAATATAATCAACAGGTCTAAATATATGTAGTATTAATAAAGTATACTTGACTCAAATGAACACTAATGTGTGTATTTATTAGAGAAGCACCGATCCGATACTTGGATCACATATTGGCTCCAATATTGACTACTGTTTTTTTCCGGACTAAAGGCCACTACTTTGTTCTCACACTTTGAACCATGCAGCTCAGGTGATGGGGAAGCCTTTCTGTGGATTTTTCCCAACTGCCAGTTAATTGTTAAAGTTGTTAATAAGTCAAATAAATTACAATTATATTTGTATTGTTACCTTTTTTAACAACGTTTATGTCAAGGCTAAAGCCTCACCCACGTGGCAAGATATGGTGTATTCATTCAACAGTTGAATGGGATCAGCATCAAGTCTTGGGCAATAAGCTCAGCTCGGGTCGAATTTCCGGACTGGATCTAGATAAAAACAATTGGTGTCTCTCTAGTAATTAATACAAATACATATAGTTTATTGTTTTAAATTGCATTCCCATACCCTGATATTATGCAATTCAAACAATAAACTTTGTTGTTTTTTTATAAATACGCTCATTAGTATCAATGTATAGACCTGATGATTATGTTATTTCAAATAAATAAGCTTTATTATACAAATTCATTCAAGTTTATTTAATAGGCCCGTGTTAATATAATCTCAAAAAGTAAATGGGAATTTATTATGAAATATAACTACATGAATCGTATCATTTGTGAGAAATGTTTTTGGTAACAGTTCAGTCTAGTTCAGACTTGTTCGGGGTTTAACTTGTTTTATTTTAATTTTCATTCTTGTTTAATTGTTCAAGCTGCATTAAGTACATACCTCCAAATACTGAAAACAGAAATAAAAACCGCGGTAGATCTGAACGCTCAGATGATCAGGATGGATGTTTGTTATGATGGCTGGGGGTAAATACCACGTCACAGCCTCTGGTCCCTAGGGTCAGAGTGCTTCTCTGCTGTTGTCATGGTAACCATATTGGTGTTTTCTTCCGTGGTATTTGCTCCGGTCTCTCTCCCCTCTGGGTTGTTTGGGTTTTCCTGTGTTTTATTTTCTGGCTGATCTCTGTGTGTGTCCCCCTCTCAATGGAGCTGTGGCTGTTTTCTCTTTCAAGAAGAAAGTTGAAAGAAAAAAATACAGACGGAAGGGCGCTCAACAAGGATTATAGATTCCATGTGTGGACTGGTGCACGGATACACACTCACAGTAGACTCTCCTTACTGCTGTTGTGCTCATTTCTGAGGGTGACAATAGTGACGCTTCAGGAGTGCTGTGCTGCATTCAAAATGGAGACATCCACTTCCTGCCTTTAACTGGCCGTGTGTTCATTTGTTTTTACTTGCATTCCTTCTTCAATTTAATCAGTGTTTACCTGTTGCAAAAAAATTATGTACAGCTCAGAAAAGTCTGGAATTTAACAATTTAGCACTCTAAATGTATTGAAAGACTTCTATTTATTGACTTTATTAACCAACCATCCATGCACCCTCCACACTTGTCAAATTTAGAAGTATATTCTATTGAAATGATAAAGTTTGGTTCAGAGAAGCTTGAAATCCCTAAAATGTATCTCTAGAAAAATAATTATAGATCATATCCATTTTTTGGGCATTTATTGCCACTAGATATTTAATGATCTCTGTTTGCAGGGATAATTAGCCTTGATCATTTTGAAAATAGTGTAAATTTAAAATGATTTCTTTATTTTTCATATGTGTATATCTGATAACAGAAGCCCATAGATATGCAGAGTGGTGATTACTGTGAAGCCTATAGGGCCTAATTAAATTATTCATAATCCATGAAATTTTTTATTTATTTATTTACTTTTCAGCCTCAAACGAAAATAATTCCACATTATTCTGTACTATTTACAAACTGTCAGAGGCATAGAGTTATAAAGAAGTTTAAAGCAAAGAAAAAGTTTCTGATTGTGATTTAAAATCTAGAACATCATGTCCATTAACACACGGATTGGCCTGTCCCTATCTTTTTATTTTATAACAAAAATTTAAGTTTTGCTAATGGAAAATGTCTAGTGTTTGAGTGCTTATTATTTACAAACCTTTATCTATTTACTTTTTGCTTCCCAGGTAAGAAATAGATCCTGTGTTTGTTGAAGAGAGAAACCAGAGCTGTAGCTGGACCTTCGCTGGCCTTCTAGAGGTCCTGATCCACCAGAACGCTTCTGCTCCCGGCTGGTTTTAGTGGAGATTAAAGGCTGAAGATGGTTGCTGTGATTCATTCCAGTCTGTTCTTGTAATAAAGAACGAAGTGTTAAGTGATGGACAGATGATTGAATAAAGATTGCCGACTAAGCATTAGCTGTTGTTTCATTTATTTACATCCTTTTTTCCTCCAACCATCCATCCTTTCCCTTATGTTAGGTCTGTTGATTCATGAGGTCCTCTTTCTTTTCAACCTCTCAGTTTTTGCAGGTTGTGCTTTCAAAGGTCATCTCTATGTAAGTATTTATTGTTAAATCCTTGAATGTCTGCCAAGTCCCATTACATCCTTCCTGCCCTCAGCTGACATAACCCACCCGGGTCCCTTATCTCTAAGTCTATAGAATATTATGCAAGATAGGATTTTGAGAGATCATTATGGTGGGGAAACCGGATTCACCGACCATTTGTCTTCACTCTTTAGGCCCCACCCTCTGTCAACAGGCAGGTGGACAACCAGATGAATGCGCACTTTCATCTGGTTTGGTCTGCCGCGGTTTCCGTAGACTCGTGAACGCGCTTTCAGGAAATCCTATACACTACTGTTTATGCTCTAAAAACATTCTAAATGACTTCGTTTCGAGTAAATTCTGGATGCTACCCACTCAGGACACTTGGAATACATTGGACGAGCAGTATGGAGGAATATTGACACGTTTTTTGTGGACTTTTATGGACCTTTCTGCCTCGGGCACCATAGACCTCCATTATTTGAATGTCAGCAGACAGCAAGAAGCCTGCCAGATCTCCAGATGCATTTGAGATATCAAAAAAGTACTCCAGAGTGTTGTTCAGCATGGGGGTGAGTAGAAAATGAAGGCTAATCATGTTTTGGGTGAACTATTCCTTTAACATCTATTTAAGGTTGTTTTCATCATTTTGTGAGCTGTGCTACATTCTATGAGGCTAAATTAGGTTTAGTTTATCTTCAAGTTAATCTTCATAAGAGACATCCGGTTCGACCAACTTTGGGTTAAAAGCAACTGAAAAGTCAGACTTCATTATATTTGTGTAAGTTTTAATTATTCTAAACAACATTTTCTCTCCAAAGTCTTTAAGCAACATTACTTTCTGTACAATTTGACTTTTCGGGAAAAAATTGTTCCATAAGTTTTGTTGTGTGTGTGCACGGTTGGTTCATGATGATCATGTTGTCTGTGCTGAAGGTTCTGAAATCAACACAGCTCCATCTCCATGATGGTAGATGGAATATCGCCCTCACAGTCAAGCATCTCTCATTTGGTTCAAAAGTTATTTAGGAAATATGGGTTTGACATCTGACCTGACATCTCAAGCTAAAGACATGCTGCCATCTTTTTATTCTCTAACGACAAAGACTTTCTTCCAAACAAACATCCAAACAAGCCTCACGACTTCAGCCTTTTTCTGATCTTATAGTCCTTGCTTTAACAACAGGGTTTGCACTTGACAATATACTCTTTCTTGCTGCAGAATGAGGCCCTGCACAAGAGAAATGATTTATATTCTATTTCAGATTGACGAGCAGCAGCTAAACAGTTTTATCTCCAGCGTTTTAATCCAGCTATCACCTTAATATGTTAAAACACAAGAAAATTAACTATGGTGATGAATAACAGGACATACATATTGAGAAAACGTGAAGCTAAGTCTAAATTGGTGATTTCAAAAATTATCATCATTATAGTTATTGTTTAAAGTTGCCTACAGCTATCAACACCTACAACGCCTGTTTAAAAAAATAACGTATGAGTTACTGCAACTTTTAATTTCCCTAAATGATTAATAGCTGCTATGTAACTTGTATTGCTCCCTTTTTTGTAAATGTTGAAGTCAGCAAATTGGAGACTAAATACTAGCTTATTAGTTTTTTTTATTTTGTTTCAGCATTTTTGTTTAAAACATTACTCTCTGACACCAGCAGGGGGAGACAAAGACCTGAAGATTGAAATCGAAAATAAGTTTGGGAATAAAAATAAACCCCTGTTAATATCGCGTAGTTTGTATTTATCGAGACATTTGCTATGTTAACTTCATGAAATTTGAAAAAGGGGAGGCTTTTCTTAATAATAAACCTTGCTTATGTGCACTTAAAAAATGTTAAAAGTAAAAGAGAGTGTTAACCAGTATTGTATGTTACTTTAATGAAAACAGATCCAACCAAAACATCTGATCTCTTATAATTAGAGGCCCAGGGATTGGGTTTTACCTGAATTGACTGATTTTCTTTGAGTTTTGACCCCTGGACTCTCTTTTGCCAATCTAAACTTGATTTTCAAGGACCATAAAAGGTATAACAAATATTTAAACTAACTTATGTTTTGAATCACCATTTAAATATAACAGACATTTAACCAAAACTATACTGCAGGTTGCTTTTCTGAGAAGATAAACTTTTAAACCTGAGGGGTTGAATGAGTTAAATGTCAATTCAAAGCCTAAGTGCTTAAAGTTGACCTGCATTTTTTTAAATGCAATTTTATTAAATGTTTTTCATTTTGAAAAGTTCACACATTCTCTCCATGTACTCTGTCTTCCTCCCACAGCCCAGAAACATGCAATGTAAAAGAAATATTTAAAACAAACTATAGAATTAACCCAAAAAAGCAAAGGCAACAATTTACATTCAGTTTGGTTAAATAAATATACAACTACTTTGTTAGTAAAGTGCATCTAATTTCAATACCTTGGAAACACCAGGAGAAATTCAGTAAGGTATAACCAAACTTGGAGACCAGCTGTTATCAGAAGTTGAATATTTGGCTCATTTGTCTTTGCTAATTAACTCAAGCATCAGTCTGAGGCTGAAAATCGAAGCCTTCTCACAGATTCTCAGTTGAGTTTTGGATGCACTTTGACTGGACCATTCTAGCACATGAATGTCCAAATATTCCAGACGTCCTGTGAAGGTAAAATTCTATCTCTATCTCAACTCTTTACCTGCCTCTAACAGATTTTTTGGTTTTGTTAGATTTAGCTCCATCTATCTAGCCATCCACTCCCGCCAGCGTGCTGTTACCCGTTGAAGAAAATCACCTCTGCATCTTAATGATGTCACTACCGTGCTTTACTGTGGAAGAATGGTGCGTTCAGGAGGGGGGATGTTGCTTTTCCTCCACATTTGGCATGTATTGCATGTAGACCAACACATTTCCATCTAATCTGAGCAAAGATTCAGAGCACCTTCTTCCATGTTTGCGGTTTCACCCAAATGTTTTATCACTGAATCTGAATGAAATATGTGGAAGTTTGTGCTTATAGTGACAATGTTCCCTGCATGTGATCGGCTAATAACTCAGAGGCTCTGTGATGTGTCTGCATTCCCCAACTCCACACCCAACCACATGACCCTCCACCTCTTCACTCAGTGACAGCCCATCCCCAAATAACTTTCATTTTGCTCTGACTGACCAGTAGCACCCCCCCTCCTACATCAGAGCACAGGCAGGAGAAAGTGTGTGAGAAGAAGTGTGTCTCAGCGAAAGTAAAAAGATGAGAGGTTGGGGTTTTTTTTGTTCACTAAGGTTTACTTTTCTAAGCTGAGCTTCAGGTCTGGATCAATCGCTGATGGGGACCTGTGGAGGAATTTAAAAACGTCATGCTTCCTGTGATTGAGGAGGATCGGTCAGCAGAGAGGTGAGTGTCCCACTGCCGACCCTGATTAGGCTCTGACGGGAGATCTCAGATATGCATCTCGCTTTGGTGTACTCACTGACACACTCTGATTCATCAACACAGAAATAACGCTTTACATCCCAGGTGTTGGAATATTAGAACAAGCTGAAGTTCTGAGATTAAACTGAAAGTGTAAATGTGGACACCCTTAAATTAATACCATGTTGTATGACCTTTAAATCCATGTATCTTCTCGGGTACAGTTCTCCCATCTGCAGCAATCAGTCTCAATAATCTGAAGTTAGGTGCACAATTAGGATTTTTCTTACAACTTTTTCAGCTGAAGCTGCAGATTGTAGAAAAATTACAAAGGATGAGAATGTCATTGTGTGAGTTTGGAGAAGGATTGTTGAAAATCCCCAGCATATACAGTAGCATGGCAGAAAATTGACGTTAAAAACTGGAATAAGAAAGTCTATTTCTTTTTAATGAATGACTATAGAAATTGATTCAAGATGTCTAATAAGCTGCAAGGAACTGTACGTTGCTAGAACTTGTTATATTCTAAATGAAAAGATAGACATTCATATTTCTGGGTGATAGAGGAACATTTATCTCTCTAGAAAAACCCAACACATCCAGCAAAGGATCAAATATCCCCAAACCATGTGGAAGAGAGTGTGATGGCCGGATGAGACCCCATGCCCACCCACAGTAACACATGGGAGTGCCTGCAATGGGCTCCGCAGTTTAATTTTTGGAACCGAGGTTGCTTTATTACAATTTGGCTCAAAGTTAGATTTTTTTAGCTGGAAAGCTGGAGAGAAAAGCAACCAAAATAAAATCCAAGTGAGGTTAGTGGAGAAGAGGAGGTGTCCTCCTTTCAATCTGGGGACCTTTTGCCCAGACAGACTAAACATGCTGGATTCTGATAGACTCACATCAGAAAATGTTTGTTAAATTGAAATAGAAATGTCTTTTTTTATAGTAGCTTAAGATTCATTGTATGTGGACTGTATCAAACAATGTTTTTAATGCTGGTAAAGATTCTCAGTCATCCATATCATAGTCATTCCAGTCATCCAGGCCAACAATTTCCCCTAACGACCCCCTTCAGAGGCATAGGCCAGTATTGGGTATTGCAGGCTACCAAAAAACCCAAACGACTCCCCATTCCAAAGGGATGGACTCATTCTTCTGGTTCAATTTGCATGTTTTCTAAGCAAAAACAAGACTTTGTTTTGGGCTACTCTATAAAGCTTTGAACTCAACGCTAACTCTGACATTTTGAGTTGAGAAAGCTTCCTGAATGGGAAGCGAAACATCTTCAAACTTGGAAATAAAGTCCAGTAGATTGTTTTTAGGAAATATTTTTAATGTTTTGTCAAGATTTGTTTTACTTTCTACAGACCGCATTTATTAGTTTACTGTATTAATGTGTAAATAGATTTTACGTGTTTTTGCTCCTTAGGAGCCTTCTTTCTTCTCCTCTTTAAAAGCACCTTTGATATTCTCAGACATTTAAAAAGACTAAGAGGAAATTTTTTGTATTTGTTTGTTAAACCACCTGACCTCTCAATCATTGAAGCACCGAAAGGTTTCTAAGCTCAAGCGTTTGACCAGTGTTGTGTCAACAAACAGGTTATTTAGCAAGAAACAAATTAGAAATGGTATCTTTGTGCCCTTTAAGAGAAACCTAACCCGAAGAACTCCCACTTATTTCAACGGGTTCATAAAAAACAAGAATAATCCTTTATGCAACTGCTATATTTAAAATCTATCGGCCTTCTAGCTTAAACCCATTCTTTATCAAACTCTTTATAAGAGAGAAAGCATAAAAGTCTGGCAAAGAGGTTTTTATTTTTTTGATTGCAAGAAGTTTTTAACCCAATCCCTCCATTTCTCTGCTTCACAGATGTCCTGAAGAAGAAAAAAGCTGAAATTTAAATCTGTTTCTGGACGTCCATCTTTCCATTGGTTAACTTGCTGTCAGCCATGGACTCCCAGGGGGGTCCGTACCTCAATAAGGGGGCTCTCGTGTCCCCCCTTGGGGCTGCCCGTCTCTCCCAGTTAGCTATGGGCTGTGCTGTGATCGCCATGGTGACCCACAGTGCAGGGTACAGCGGGTCACAGGGCATGTTCTGCATGGGGGCCTGGTGTTGCTGCTTCGCCATGACGGCGGCCGTGTTCTTCCTGGACGCCACTCGTCTCTACAGCTGCCTGCGGGTGTCCTGGGACAACCTGACGGTCACCTGGGCGGCCTGCGCCACGCTCATGTAGGTCACAGAAAACACTCCTCAACCAATCTCTGAGGTTTTACCTCGATACTGATTGAACTTTATCAATACTAAAATACACAGTAAAAATAATCCAGGTTCAATTTGATTTCATCTTTTTATTTCTGTATGATGATACAGACCCTATCATCATCATCATCCTCAAATTTTAGTTCTTAGATATATAACAAATGTAGAAGGATTCATTTTGAAATAAAAAAATGCAATTTCTCTCTTTATTTAGTCTCTAGATCAATTTAATTTTTTTTTTACAGTTTTGTTTGATGGTTTTCTTTGTTTTTTTGTAAAGGAAGCTGATTTCAAATTGTGATTAATAGCATGTGTCATGGATTTCTACATGTTTTATGATGTGTGAGGGGGGAAAAAATGAGAATAAATCCCAGCAAGGTAAATGTTTTTTTACTGATGTGTCGGTAATATTTTAAAATGCTGCTGTAAAAATATAGAACACAGAGTCTGGAACCTTATGTTTTTTTTTAATAAGGCCTAATAGTTTGGTTATCTGAATTTGGCTTTGAAGTGGAAAGCCTGGATCCTTTAGAATCTTTGTTTAGGGTAAATAATACAAAACAGAGAAAAATTATGACAAAGGTATTCTGCATGCCNGACCTAACTAAGCTGGAGAAGACATGCAGAATGATGTGGAAAAATAAACCCTAAAACAGAAGATTTAAGATGAAAAAATACACACTAGTAGGAATCCTTATGGAATTCCTTTTGGAAAAATAAGGGGGGAAAAAAACTCATTTAGTCATTGTTGAGTATTATGAGTGGAAATTTTATTCATAATGGAATAAATCTGTAAAATAATACAAAACAGAGAAAAATTATGACAAAGGTATTCTGCATGCCAGGTCCTACGCTAGCTCTCAGAATATGGTTCTTAACCAAAAAATTATGATTGCTCCCCCTCGGGTCAGCGGTCAGTTACTTTTTCTGCCTCAAGAGAAGTGTTTATCAGTCATAGCATCTCCCTCACAGATAAAGGTCTATCTCTTGATATATAATAGAGATGGAATGAAGCAGAATGATGTGTAGTGGTCCCTATGTCTTCCAGCAGCCCAAGCCTATAGCAGCATAAATAGCTCAGCATAACCTGTGTGTCTCTAACTATGAACTATATCAAGAAGGAAAGTTTAGGAAAAGGCGGTAAGGTGCTGCCACTTGATATCCTACTTCATGAAGAGCTACCTTTACATATAAACGTTGCGAAAACAGTTTGGAAGCATTTCCCTTTCTTTTTCTTGCAAATTAAAAAAATTTACCAATAGGTACCAATAATCTCTTTTCTTTCATCATACTCACATAAATGCTGTTTTCTTCTTTGTTATCAAGAAATGTTGAACCTTTAGTGGTATATTGAATAAAATTATTTGACTGATTTATCCATTCAAAAGCCTAAAAACAGAACTAAAACCATTTTGTTCATATTTAATGGGTTTTATAAAGCTTGACTGGGTACATTTAAAAGACATCAATAAGTACAATAATTAAAACTGTGAAGAAGAAACAATATGGAAACTTACAAGAATATTATGCCTTTAAAAGTTCAGGCATTTTATGTACTATATATTGTTCTTCTATATAATATATTCATTACATCTTTATATATAATATATATAAAGTGTTATACAGAGATGGGAAGTAACGAAGTACAATTACTTCGTTACTGTACTCAAG